GGTCTTCACCAAGTGTGAAAAAGCAGGCCTTCTAAGAGAAAAGCGCTATCATTGTATGACCATTCCACTGGGTCACAGAGATGACATAGAAGACTGATCTCAAGTAACTCACAATCAAGTCGAGAAAGAGACACGTAAATGTAACTAAATGTGATTAAATGCTGCATAAATTTATGTTTCAAAAGAAGTGATCTATTTAAATTATCTTTTATGGAAACTACATAGTCTTCCTTTATTAAAATTTCCCTTGTTGATATAGGCAAACCAGGTCAGTTTCTGCTGGATTTGCATACTTGCATTTTAGTCCTTAATTTGACTTCTTATTAAACGTTTAAAAGGGGCGGGGGGCGGGGGGAGAGAAGTGATCTGAGCCCAGAAGACAGAATTGGGAAAGGCTTCCCGGAGGGTGTGACATTTAAGCCAGGTCTTAAATACGTAGGTGCTTTCAAAGGACAAGAAAAGCATTTCAGACAGAAGGAACCAGTTTAGGCTAGAACAGGCCTGCGAGGCCGAGAAGGTTGTGAAAGGCGGGACAGGCTCTGTAAAGCCACCTGAGCCACCAAGCCAGAAAGGATTTTTTCCAGACCTCCGCCCACTCTTTACCCCACACACGTGGTCAGGGATCAATCTAGCTCACTCCACACCCTAAGTTACCGCCTAAGGTCTCTCTTCTCCATCCCGATTCCATTCCTGTAGCTCCCCAGCGTCTGCCTGGGATATTGCAGGTTTCTTCATTGATCTTCAAATGCCCCCACTTCCACTGCAGCCTGCAGTCAGTGAAATGATCTTTCTAAAGTATGCATCAGGTCAAACCATTTTCTTGCTTAAAATCCCACTTGGTTTGCCAGCACTTCCGCGGTAAAGCTCACCCTCAGCATGATGTAGGATTCCCTGTATAATTACGACCCCCCTCTCCAGACTCTGCCTGGCTCTGGCCCTGGCAGACTCCTCCCGGCTCTGGGATGGTGCACAGGTCACCAGAGGCAGCGAGCCCACTTCCGCCCATTTAAAACGGGGATAACAGCTCCTACCCACGAGCCGAGGATTAAAACCATGCACTTAGGGCCATAAGCAGGTGGTGGCCTTTTCCTTGCATGTCCGTCCCAAGGACTCAGACTTTGAACCAGAACAATGTGATTAGATCAGCACGTTATGGGGGGGGGGGGGGGGGGGGGGGGGGGGGAGAGAAAGCAGAGAGGGAGGGCGACCAGAGAGGCAGAGACACAGGGGAGACGTGAGTGGCAGAGGCAACGGGAGGAGAGAACGAAGGAGCACATGCAGGGATATAATCGAAAGGACTTGGTTTCTAACTGGGAGCAGAGGCGGAGAAGGGTGTTAGGAGAAGGCAGGTCTCAAAGCCCTTTCTAACGAGTTCTTACACTTTCTCTGCCCTCAGTTGAAGCACTTCTTCATCCTTTGAAAACGGATTTACTTTCTAAAAACAGGCAAAAGTGGGTTGGGGCCCAGTTTTGCAAAAAAAGAAATTAAACTATGAAATGCCATGTGGCGTGGATTAAGTGTAGAGCCCACAAAACAGGCAGGAATCGTGTGTATGTAGAAAGCATTTGCTTGGGGAAAAAAAATCTAGAAACCCTTGCAATCCATGTAACTGTCAAATGGTTTCAGGAGAAAGATCTCAAGAAAGCAGCAAGACCTGGCGCTCGGCGATGCTTGCCTCGAACCATGCTCTGCCTTAAGCAAATTGCCTAATTAGTTAAGAGGGTGCCCTGCGTGTAGGACTGAGGCAACAATAGCCTGCCAGTCTCACAAACTTGGGTTCACAAGTGTTATAAAAAGGTAGTTCTATTTCGCAGTTCTTCAGTAAAACATAGATGTAGATGGAAACTTCAAATGCAGATAAAAATTTGATTCATTATACATTTTGATTACTCAGTTGTGACTTTATACTGTGCTGTCGCAACTGACAATTTTAAACAGCAGAATCACATTTTACACTTAAGTATAAATATACTTTGGCATATCATCAGGAAAACAACAAAAAATGTTACCGTGGATATTGAACTACTAACCCTTGATTCCGAGCTTTGAAATGAGAATTTCTGGATGTACATTTATCTGAAAGGTGGGGAAGACCAGGAAATACATTGCTTCTGTCTATAGCAAACTCCCAGAAGGTATATGGAAGCTGATGCTTCGAGTACTAAAGGTGATCCTCACACCAGGTGGTCCAATACCAACTGTCCACTCCACATGGTTCCCACGGTGTACCCGGAGAGTCACTCATCGGGGTCTCCCCTCAAACCACTTAATGAGGTATTTAAGGAAACCAACAAGTTCAAAATCAACAGTTTTTAGGTCGTCTATCTTCATATTCTGAGTACTAAGCACAGGTGCTGCGATGTGACTGATGCACAGCCCGGGCCAGAGCGGGACATGGGCCCACCTTGGACCTGAGGCTGGGCAGCCAGGGCCCGGGACATGGGCCAACCTCGGGCCTGGGAGGAGGGCAGCCAGGGCCCAGGACATGGGCCAACCTAGGGCCTGGGAGGCAGGGCAGCCAGGGCCCAGGGCACCTGACCCTCCTGCAGCTGAGGCAGGTGTGAGAAATGAATGAGCAGAGGGCACTTGAATACTAACCAGAGCCACCTCAAATTTCTTTCCCGCCCAACCCCCTTCTCAGTGATTGAAACGTAACGCCATCATGCTAACAGGACACAGCAGCCTCTGCACTGATGCTCAGGTGTCCCACTTAAGAATTAGGAGCTAGAGCTACTCTGGTTGGTTCTAAGGTAACCATCTCTTACCCTTTATGTTGGCCACTGAGCCTCCGGGACCTCGGGCTTAAACTCATCTCCAAGATAACGAACCAGGCCTTGGTTAGGGCTATAAACTCAGGTTGCCCCCCAACTACAGTTCACTCTTCTCAACGCCACACTTCTCTGTCAGGTATTTTAAATCAGTGTAATTTCTCATCTCTAATTCCACGAGAAACCAGTGTCACAGCCTGGATTTGCATCTCGCTCTCCTCCCCACAGCTGTCAGGGTCAGCACTTCACTTCCCTAAGCCTTGCTTTGCGGTTCCCTGTGTGTTTTCTTCATCTGCCCAACGGGACACCACAACCTGACTTTGAAGGCTACAGTCAGAATCAAACAAGATGAACAAATACTGCACTGTCCACACCGCATGGAGTGCAGCCTGTCTGGCTCTCATGGCACCAGGTCAGTGCTCAGCGGGGATCTGGAAGCTCCATGGGGTACCTCTCTGGGGGCAGCTAAGGCTCAAGGGGAGGCCAGGATTCCTACAGCCACACCCTTCCCTGGAGGATGCCTGCTCCTTACCACACCTGGTGCTATAGTGGTTCCTCCTGCACCTCAGGTCAGATCAGAAGCAGGCACAGACTGGTAAGGTGCCGAGTTAACATATGGCCAGGAGTGAGGATTTGCTCACTGACCGGGAGGTGGGAGTATCACAGACACATCCAGTGCCCAGGCTTCAGTGTCCTCTCCAATAGTTCCCAGGGTCCCAAGGCTTTTGCTCACATACAAGTCCTCCCATTCATAAACCTCTCAGGTCTGAGAGGCAAAAATCCCCTCCCTCCCCCTCCTTTAGCCCAGGGAGCCGTGAGTGACTGGGCTGACATGGAGACTCACCAGCAGCCACAGAACCAGGAGCAGAGAGCGTGGCTGGTGACCAAGCACCAAGCCCAGCAGACTAGACTCCACCCCATCCCAGGGGGAACTGCGCCCTCTCCCTCCAGCAGTAAGAACACTGGGCAGGGCAGGGAAACCAGCAGAGAACACAACTCAGGGGACTCTGCCTCCCACCTGCTCAAAGAGAAGGCAAAGCCATACAGCAACCACAGGAGAGCAGAGAAAGAAAAGCCATAAACACGTCCAGAAGAGACTCTCTCCCAAGGTGAAACTCACAGATAATTTAATGGAATTTACTTAATCTTCCCCTCTCAGGGTCTGACTTCAGAAAATCAAATTACAGAGTCATCATCACATCCTAGATTTATTACAACTGACCTGCAGGCAAAAGGATAGAACTATTACATAAACACTTCGATTCCATGTATATATCTTAAATAGAGGAGGATTTCAAACAAGAATACAGGATAAAATATTCCAAAGCTCCAAGAAGCAGTTATGTTACTGAGCTCCATTTTTACAGACAAATAAGGCAATATCCCTGCACATTAGCTTTTTGATAATTTTTATACATTTTTCTATGATACAAGAGAAAAATAACCAGAGCTCACAATGTACAGTTCTTACACTATTTTCACAGTCTGTGAACACTATACACCCTTTTGTTTTAATAAAGATATAGGGTAATAAACTCCTTGCCCTTAAGTTTATAGTTTATAATAATCTATGATTAATACACTAAAATTGCTTTGATGTGGTCATCCACACAACAGAACAGTCAGATCAGCTTAGCTCCTGGACAGTCAGAACTGCTTTGATCTCCACTGTAGAATGGCAAAGTGACCCTGCGCCGAGCCCGACGGGAAGTTGACAGCAGACAGGAAGTTGAGTCCCCGGGAGATACGGAGAATGATGGCTTGGTGTAGTTGAAGGAAGACACATAACAACGCTTCCTTTGAGAACACTGGGAAGTCTAAGGTTTATGATGCCATAGGGGAGAAAATGGGAAAATTAGGCAAATGGATCAAAGCAAGAAATCATTTTTGAATTCTGAAATTGACAGGGAAGTGACTTTAAAACAGCACCATTCTCCCTTTATTGTTGTATAGTGTTGATGACTGTCACTCTGGGAGGAGACACAGCAGTACCTGCCCCGGGGCTTCTGGAACGGCCTCACCTGGTCTGGGACCACGGCTGTTTTATATTCCCGCGTGCTGGGACCACTCACAGTGCTGCTCACAGAGCCGAACGCGCAGTGCCAGGGAGGCCAGAGCAAACCCCAGGGGAAGCTGGCTGGTGGGGGAGTGAGGAAGCACAGCAGAGAGCAGGTTACAGTGGGCTTATCACTGTTCGGGGGTTGTTTGGGTTGCGGGGTTGATTCTGTAGAACTCCAATTCCAAGAAATGATGACCTGTAAGAGGCTCTCGCAGGCGCTGAGCTCACCTAAGACTGCCGTTTCAGGTCCTCCCTGGGTCACTCGTGTTTCTAGAAAGATGCTGCCTCATCACCTACCACGTTACTGAGCCCCATGATGTTCAGCCTCTTAAACATTGGCGCATCTGAGAGATTTGGGGCTAGAAATCCTTGGTAAGGAACATCCCTGGTATTATAAAGGTTTTTAATAGAGAGGGTGGGGGGAGGCAAAGAACTGGATTAAGCAAAAGACACATAGTGGCAAGAGACTACAGGGGAGGGGAAGAGGTTCAGAAACCGAAGACCTGGACCAGTGACGGCAAACAGCTGCGATTTGGTCTTTTGCTGCCTACGAGAAATCTCTATCTATCTAATCAATCAAGGCACATTGCTCCTCGCTACTCCTCCCTGGTAGTGAGTTACGATGGCTAAAGTATCAGGCTCGGGACAAAGGGGGAAGAGAGCTGCTAGGAGCTGTCCCAGAGAAGATGCTCGCATGAAAACGTCTGTAAACGTTGCCCTCCGTAATTTTTCTTCGTTCAGTCCCGGTGGTTGGTGGCAGGTGGAACCTCGGGTTAGCAGCACACCAAATGCTGAGTGACAATTCTTAGGATCAGCACCTTCTTTGACAAGGGGCAGACTCCCGAGTCTCCCAGTGAAAAGCAGAAGGACTGGTCAAGGAGAAAAGAGCACATTCTGTCCTGTCTCGATATTTTACTGTTCGCCTCTTTGAACACAACATGGTTTTTGGTGAAGATAAATTCATTCTAATTTAAAATGATATTTCAAACGGGAATTTGGCCGAGCACATCGATCCCCGAACATCGACTGTGACCATAAAGCAACAGGACCTCAGATCAGTAAGTCTATTGCACTTGGTGAAGAACAGAAACCCTCCTGTCTCCCGGCTCCAGAAGGCAATGCGTCTCGCTGGCTGTGCAAGCTCTTCTCACTCGTGCCGAGTCCCTACATTCAGACACAGTACATCCATCACTGCGTTTTTCCAGGACCGGAAGTCTGACAAATACCACCCCAGTAGCTGTGTCTCCAGGTTTTGAGTCTAGAAATGAATTAAAGATGTGATCTAATCACAGTCAACAAATTGATCGTACTGACTTCCACGTTTCATGAGTATGTCATCGGGAAAGAGCAGGATGAGGTCTCTGACCAGCACGAACACTGGGATCAGTCGGATACTTCGGGGATGCACGTCCTAGATGACGGGAGTATACAGACATGATGGAAACAAACACCAATCTTATTGCACATGGTGTCTGGGCGAGCAATAAAAACACTGTGATAGGGTGAAAATTCTTTACGTCTTGCTTCCTCTCAGCCCTTTTTTTCTAGAGTCTGACGTAGCAGCGGCATCAATCGACATACATGGGAGAGCTGGGAGTTGCTGGCATTTGATCCAGGATTTTACAAACATAGCTTGCGACCTCTACAGTACGTTCTTCATACATTAAAATAAAGGGATGTTTCTGCAAGAAAATGGAAGAAAAAAACAAATCAAAATTTATATCAGAGCCCACGCTGGGCTTTTCCCAATTTTGGAACAGCACAGAACCAGAGGCTCAACCACGCAGGGCTATGAAACTCCAGCACCGGCTCAGCGCTGCCAGCACAGCCTGCATTCCCAGGAGGCGTGTCAGTGGGTGTGGTCTGCCGGGCGTGATGCTCAGGCTGGGATATGGAGCCGCCTGGAGGTGAGGTCTGGGTACTAATCTGTGGACCAGGGAGCATTTGCTAAGGCAGACAGCACTGCTGTTCCTCTGCACAGAACATGTGAGAACCAAGAACGACATGACCACCAGGTGCTAGTCTTAGGACAGACACCAACTCAACTGCCCGTTCCCCCGGGCGCAAAGTGAATCCTGAACAAAAAGAACTGTTTCAAACCTTCTCACCCCCGCTCCCAAGGAAACTCAATAGAAACTTACCCTATGAACTCCTGCACCACACTCTCCAAAGCCTGGAGCCCATATCTGCCTCACAACCCACCGTTTCATACTCCATCTCCAGCAGTATTTTTCTTTAACAGTTTCTCTAAGCACAATGACTGGGGATAGCTATTTTTTTAACATATATTTTTATTGATTTCCGAGAAGAGAGAGAAATAGAAACATCAATGATGAAAGAGAATCATGGATTGGCTGCCTCCTGCACGCCCCCAACTGGGGATCGAGCCTTCAACCTGAGCATGTGCCCTGATCGGGAATTGAATCAGTGACCTCCTGGTTCATAGGTCGATGTCAACCACTGAGCCACACCAGCCAGGCCTGACTGGATATCTTTAGTCACACCTGGGGTTGACCGTAAGTCTGAGAGACAGAAGCTAAGTGTGACAAATAGGTGGTTTTTTTCTTAAAATATTTCCACATTATCAGATCACAGTACTTTGTTCACCACTAGACCAAAGACACATCCAGGAGACTACTTAAAAGGCCCAGGTTCCACGGGGTGGGTGAGAAGTTTTAAAATAAATGGGAATTGGCTGTATGAGTCTAGATTTATTTGCATGAGAACATTTTATAAAGGCAGAGAAAGCACAATAAATTCTTACGGATGTGTTACACATACATAAACCACATGGTAAAATAAAAATGGCTCCTTAAAGTGAATCTTAAAATTCTCCAGGGAGCCCAGCCAGTGTTACCCAGTGGTTGAGCATCAACTTATGAACCAAGAGGTCACCAGTTCAATTCCCGGTCAGAGCACATGCCCGGGTTGCGGGATCGATCCCCAGTTGGGGGTGTGCAGGACGCAGCCTATTGATGATGTTTCTCTCTCATCAATGTTTCTATCTCTCTATCCCTCTCCCTTCCTCTCTCTAAAACATCAATAAAAACATATTTTTAAATAAATTTTCCAGGTTAATATTTATAACATGTCAAGGTCAAAACTTTCCATGAGAACATACCGAGTAAATCAGTAGGGAAGTTATAACTTCAAATTTTCTCTTTCCAAACACTTGTTTCAGAACCTTTTACAAAAGCCCAGTGAGGTGAAGCTGTCTGTCTGTCTGTTTGTCTTTGAGAGGTCACCGCCTGGTCAGTGAGGTGGAGCTGTCTGTCTGTCTGTGTGTCTGTCTATGAGAGGCCACCGCCTGCTCAGTGAGGTGGACCTATCTGTCTGTGTGTCTGTCTTTGAGAGGCCACCGCCTGCTCAGTGAGGTGGAGCTGTCTGTCTGTCTGTCTGTCTTTGAGAGGTCACTGCTTGGTCAGTAGGTGGAGCTGTCTGTCTGTCTGTCTGTCTATGAGAGGCTACCGCCTGCTCAGTGAGGTGGAGTCCATGAGAACATACCGAGTAAATCAGTAGGGAAGTTATAACTTCAAATTTTCTCTTTCCAAACACTTGTTTCAGAACCTTTTACAAAAGCCCAGTGAGGTGAAGCTGTCTGTCTGTCTGTCTGTCTGTTTGTCTTTGAGAGGTCACTGCCTGGTCAGTGAGGTGGAGCTGTCTGTCTGTGTGTCTGTCTATGAGAGGCTACCACCTGCTCAGTGAGGTGGAGCTGTCTGTCTGTCTGTCTATGAGAGGCCACTGCCTGCTCAGTGAGCCAGCACGCTGAGCGGACCAAGGCTGAGGAGACAGCTGACATTGCCAAGGTCTCATACTCACCAGAAGTTCTTTATACTTTGGCCTTTTGGATTCGTCCTTTGTAAGGCTAAAATAACAAAACAAAACAAAACAAACATTATTAATATGAAGACACATTTACCCCAAGGATTTTTTTTCACAAAAGAAATATTATAAAGAATCGAGTAGTTTTTTCCTTCAGATGCAAAGGTGACATAGCAGACAACCTGCCAATCTCAGAAAACAGGAAAAATTAGGCAATCTATGAACAAGAGAAAAGCAAAGCAGTTTCAGGAATGTATAGTAAAGAAGATATACTAAACACTCTGGCTTTTTGCTTGTAAATATAAATTTTTAAACTATGTTGGATAAACAATAATTATTAAAAATAGTCAAATAATAACAAAGCCTGTTGTATTTAAAATACAGATTGAAACAGCATGAAGCAAGATTATATATCACCATCTCTGCATGAGTTTATTCTCAGGAGCTGCTCACACAGGCACGCACACGTACACACGCATACGTGCACCTTTAAAAGGTGGACAGACATGAGGTGTGGAGTTCACCTTCCTTGGAATAGGTTTCAGAGAGCTAATCTAGGGTTCTACCAATTGAACTTTAGGCCTAACTTGACTCCACACACCCAACCATGTTTTATGTTATGTCAGAGCAGAGATCAACCCCTGAAAGTATGGCCTGGTAGGATCTTCACTTGGTAAAGGCTTCCAAGTGATTTGGTACAATTTCACGATGAAAACCACATCAGAATGAGATGGCCAGTCTCACCTGGGCTGTATTTCTCGTACAGAGAACTAGAAACTGGGAGGCAGCGCTTCTCCACCACCCCCAGCTGTTTTCATCAGTGCCTGAGCAGTAGAACAAGAGAGCAGGGCCCTCCAGGCTGCGGGAACCTCCCATGTAGCTGCAATGATCCGGAGTCCCAGCTCAGGAGACAGAGGGACAGGAGAAGGCTCCCCTGCCCCAGTGTTGCTAAGGTTAAATCAACCTCACTGTTCTCACTGCGTGTTTTTGAACATCCATAATTCAAGTACTCACCACAAGTTGACAAAGTTGATGAAACTCGGGGAGAATTCCCTTTCCTCCGAATTACTCAGCTGCGGGGGGTCTCCTTTCACGACTTGCGTAAGTTGATCAAATACACTATTCCACTTTGGATAAGGAAATCGGCCTGTGGCCAACTCGTACTGAAAGAACCCAGAGGAAAAAGCAAAATACACTAAGGCAATGCTTACTTCTCCTCACTGAAATGGCCATGTTGAAAATCTAAACTCTAAGCAAAACTCTTAAAAGCTTGGCATTAAATCCGTATCAGGTTAAGGTAGAATCTTCAGAAGTATTAAGGCTAAGTGGAATGATATTAGAATCAAGATAATATAAAGAATTCTGTATCAACCAAATCCAAGAACTTGGACTACAAGGAAACAATGAATTTAAGCCCCAAGTCCCACAGTGCATGCTTCAAGTCTGACTCCTTTGTATACAGGATTCTGCAAGGCTGGCTTTAGAACTATTTTAGTACAATATCTTCACTATTTATAGTCACCTGAGTGGAAAGCCATGTCCAGAACTGTTGCCAAATTCATTTTTAAGGTAAAATAACATTAAACATACACAAAACGTCCAATGAGCTCCCAGGAAACAAAGTTCGATTGCCATTCTGCAGTTACTACAATTCCAACCACAACCAGATGTTACCATCGCTGAAGAAAAAGTCAGGGTCAAAGCCTTCACCCTGAAGCCCAAAAATGATGCTTAAGAGAAGGAATAAGGTGAAGGATCTAGTACCCTAGAAATTAATTTCACACATTTCATAATTTTATGAGATTATCCACATAAAAAAAATTATGAAGCAATTATAAGTACTGAATACCTTGCTTTAAACAAAGACATAGTACTAAAGAAACTTGCTAAAAAATTTTTTCTATGTTAGAACCGTTCACAGAACAAAAATTTGTTTTTACGAGTATAATGAAGTAAATACTTATTTTTTAACATAACTGGTTTGGACACAGATAGGTATTTCTGAACCATTAATATCCCTTCTATGCGAGCAGTAGCCTCAGCTAGAGGCTAGAGTCTTGCTGCAGTCTTTGCCACCAGCCACCAGACCTAAAAGATACCCAAGTTCCATGCTCTCTCCTAACTGAAAAAAAGATTCCTTCTTCTTTGCTCAGTTGGCTTCACAATGGGAAAAGACTCAGAAGGTGCCTCCCAGATCTGGCCACAAGAGAAACTAGAAGGAGTCTTCGGCAGAGGTGAGTTGTTAGCCTCAACTCTCTACTCAGAGACTTCACCAGGCTGGCAACATGACTCACCAAGAATAACTACATGGATAACTAAAGGGTAACTAACAGGGACAACTACAAGGAAATTACAAGGATAACAACAAGGACAGCTACAGGATAAATAACAAGGACAACTGCAAGAATAACTAAAGGGTAACTACAAAGATAACTAACTAACAAGATAACTACAAGGATAACTAACACAGCCCCATTTAGTGGCGGAAGATTCACACCCATGTAGGCAAAGCTGTCAAAAATCAGAAAAATGCCATCAAGCCTGGTAAAACAGCAAGCACAAGAAAATGAACCTAAAACTTCAAAACAAAATTTGGTATCTTTATATATAAAAGCCTAATATGCTAAGTGTCCGACCGATTGGTCGACCATTCAGTCGACTGCTCGAACAGTCGCTATGACGTGTACTGACCACCAGGGGGCAGACGCTCCGACCGGTAGGTTAGCTTGCTGCTGGGGTTCAGCCGATTGGGACTGGGCGAGATGGGCTGGACACGCCCTGGAGCCAACCTCCCACGGTCCCTCCCCGGCCTCTAAAATATTTCTTCTAATTTCCTTTCAATGTGCACGAATTCGTGCACCAGGCCTCTAGTTAAAGAAATAAGCAAATAAAGATGCTTTTTAAATAGAACCAAAATTTCAACACAGCCAAGAAAGAGTTGTGCTTAGTTGCAAAGTAAGCAACTTTCTTACTATTCTTTCTGTGTTGTTCTAAGGTAGAACTCTCCTTTAGAACTGTCACCTAAGCAGTTCTTGTTTCTCAACAACTGAATTACTTTCAGTTTCTCTGACTTTTCTATTCCGTGACTGGAAGACTCCAGTGACATGAACATATTCCTCTAACACACACCCTGCATAGTGTTACTGGACACACTACTCAGGCTGAGTGGAGGAGCCTGTGCCTTCCCAGGACTCTGACTGCACAGGAGCTGCCCCACCCCGTTCCATTCTCAGTGCACGAGACTCCTGTGTGTGTGACCAAGACATCCACAGCTGCAATGTTACAGAGCCCTAGGCACCTCAGAGAACCTTGAGAGAAATAATCAATTACAGTTTGATTTTTAAAGTATAAAACATACATTTATTCAACAACTAGAAGATACAGTCCCTGTGATCATAGCCATGAGGGAAAAAATAGGTAAATAAAATCAAAGACTAGAAGAGACAAGAAGCAGTTCTTATGAGGGGTGGAAAACTGATGAAATTTACTTTCACTTCTAAATTTCTTGGTACACTACTAGGACAAGGCTGGATGGACATCAACATACCAACGTGATCCCCAAACTCCAGACATCAGAGCGGACATCATAGCCTTGTCGTGATGCACTTGGGTCTATTCTTTCCGGCTGGAACACAAAGGGAAGTCACAGTCAGTAATTAGTCACATGATTAAGAAGCAGGGAAAGGGAAGCAACAGCTGGGCAGGTGACCCAAATGCCAGCATAATCCTTACAGGAACCCATGTCTGGGGTCAGATTAAGAGTCATGGCTCTAGCCGGTTTGGTTCAGTGGATAGAACACTGGCCTGCAGACCAAAGGGTCCTGGGTTCGATTCTGGTCAAGTGCAACGTACCTCGATTGCAGGTTCCTTCCTGTCCCTGGCCCTGGTCAGGGCTCATGCAGGAGGCAACCACTCAATGTGTTTCTCTCACATCAGTGTTTCCCTATGTCTTTCCCTCTCTCTTCCATTTTCCCTAAAACCCAGGTGAGGATTAACAACAACAAAACAAACAAACGAAAAAAAAGTAGTAGAAAGCCAACATTAAAAACAACCAACAGAAAAAAAAAAAAAAAAGGAAAAAAAAGAAAACCTCAATAGTTTCCTCCCTAAAGGAAATACAAAGCAACTCTCCTATTTTCCCCCTAAGTACTCACAAGCACTTACAATCCTAAAGCTGAGAACAGCCAAAGGGAGAAATAGGAAGAAAACTAGAAAAATGTAAAAAATAAAGAAATGCAGGGTCAGCTTAGCAGCAAGTAGTGGCAAATGGGGGAAAAAAGACTAAGTTTGTTTCCGTGAATAAGGCCCTAATGTTATATATTGAGATACAAAAGCAAATATGAGCCAAATTATAATTATTTTACCCATTCTTCATCATAAAGCTAAATTTACCATTATTTCTATTAGTCATTTTAATCAAATTAAACATTGTCAATATAGTAATATATCACCCTATCATTTAAATAGCTAACATCATTTTTAGTAACTTCTGTGAAATTAGAGACCATTATCTACACAATGTGTCAGGGATGAGAACACCAGAGACAGAGACAGAGACAGAGATAGAGAGAGCGCGCGCACATCGGTGGCAGAGCAGACCATGGATCCTAAGACTGAGTAACTGCTGTTGAAAGGCGTGCCCAGAGAAGCATACCAGTTGGCTGAATTATACTCTACTAGAGGCCGGATGCACAAAAATTTGTGCACTCGGGGGGTTGGGGGGGAAGGGGGGTCCCTCAGCCCGGCCTGTGCCCTCTTGCAGTCTGGAACCCCTTGGGGGATGTCCACCTGCTGGCTTAGGCCCGCTCCCGGGGAATTGGGCCTAAGCTGGCATTTAGACATCCCTCTGGCAGCCTGGGAGCCCTTGGGGGATGTCCACTTGCCAGCGGGGAGCAGGCCTAAGCTGCAGTCAGACATCCTTAGCGCTGCTGAGGAAACAGGAGAGGCTCCCGCCACCACCGCTGTGCTGGCAGCCATCAGCCTGGCTTGTGGCTGAGCAGAGCTTCCCCTGTGGGAGTGCACTGACCACCAGGGGGAATCTCCTGCATTAAGCGTCTGCCCCCTGGTGGTCAGTGTGTGTCATAGTGACCAGTCATTCCCAGTCGTTCTGCTGTTAGGGTCAATTTGCATATTACCCTTTTATTATATAGGATAGAGGCCTGGTGCACGGGTGGGGGCCAGCTGGTTGGCCCTGAAGGGTGTCCCGGATCAGGGTGGGGGTCCTGCTGGGGTGCCTGGCCACCCTGGGTGAGGGGCGGATGGCTGTTTGCAGGATGGTCAAGGCCCCCAGTGGGGACCCTCACCCCATGGGGGTGTGGCCAGCCTGGGTGAGGGGCTGATGGCCTTTTTCAGGCTGGCCACGGCCGTGGGCTGGAAGCAGGTATCTGGGATTTATTTAACTTCTATAACTGACACTTTGTTGCCTTGGTCCGGCTTGAAGCCCCTCCTTGAGCGGAAACCACGGTGGCTGGAAGCAGGTATCTGGGATTTATTTATCTTCTATAACTGAAACTTTGTAGCCTTGAGCGGAGCTCAGGGCCGGCAGGACAGGCAGGAAGCTTGGCTTCCTCCATCGCCGGGGCAACTCAAGCCTCCTGCTCGCTCCAGCTCCGTGGCCACCCAGCTCCGTGGCCACCGCCATCTTTGTGACGAAGTGATGGTTAATTTGCATATTACTATTTTATTAGCTAGGATCACTGTTGGCAACCACTAGTTTGGACACCTACATAGTTTGTTTTGAACATGAGTACTGTGGCTGCATAAATTTTCATTGTAAGCTACTTATTATTCATGAGCCCAGACACTTAAGTTACATGATAACTTGCAGAAATTTGTACATTAGGGATGCAAATGATTTTTGCCTAATAACCTCAAAAGCTATTTCCAATCTTGGCATGACAAAAATCTTTGAAGATATGACAAGAGCTAGAAACCTCAAAGTTAGCAATTGATAAGCTCATCACAATAAAATTTTATATTTCTGTAATTGAGCCAAAAATATGTAAAATTTAAAGACAAATGACAACTTTTGAGAAAACTATACTATATAATAAAAGGCTAATATGCAAATCGACCAAACAGCGGAATGACCGGTCGCTATGACATGCACTGACCGCCAGGGGCAGACGCTCAACGCAGGAACTGCCTCCTGGTGGTCAGTACACTCCCACAGGGGGAGCGCCACTCAGCCAGAAGGCTGGCAAGCACAGCAGCAGTGGCAGGAGCCTCTCCCACCTCCGCAGCAGCACTAAGGAACAGCAAGCTGGGCAGTAAGGAACAAGGGGTCCCAGATTGCAAGAGGAATGTCTGACTGCCAGCTTAGGCCCCTGAGGGTCTGGACTGCGAGAGGGTGCAGGCCCGTTCCCCCCACCCCAACACACAAATGTCACGCACCGGGCCTCTAGTGTAACATAATTCTCCTTATATTTTATATCAACATAAAAGATTAACATTCTAATAAAAATGGACAAAGGATAATGCATTAAAGTGGTCAAATATAAGGAAAAAAGGCAAGCCCTAGTTGGTTTGGCTTAGTGGATAGAGCGTCGGCCTGTGGACTGAAGAGTCCTGGGTTCAGTTTCGGTCAAGGGCACATGCCTGGGTTATGGGCTTGATCCCCAGTACAGGAGGCAGCCAATCAATGATTCTCTCTCATCATTGATGTTTCTTTCTCTCTCTCTCTCTCTCTCTCTCTCTCTCTCTCTCTCTCCCCCTCTCCCTTGCTCTCTGAAATCAATAAAAATGTGTTTAAAAAGCATTTAAAAAAAAAAAGAAATCATGAATTTATACCCAAGATTACGTGGGGTAGTTGTTTTTTAACATTCAAAAATAAGCAATTCAAACTGCTAAAGAAAAAGTACTGGTTACTCAAGTGCAAATCTACATTTCCAAAGATGACAGCACTTTTAACAATAGTTGCTTATTAAATTTGACTTCTGTGAAGTCAAAATTCTCAGGGATTGTATCTTTATACCTTCAGCCATCTCAGTATAACTCACAGAGAATGGTGGCCTTCGGTGGTTTTTAAACAACTTTACTGAGATGTAATGCACATACCATACAATTCACCCACTTAAAGTATACAAGGCAATGGCTTTTATATAGTGACAGATATTTGTATCCATGACCAGAGTCTATTTTAAAATATTTCCTCACCCAGCACCCTCTGGATATCATCACCACCCCCCCCCCCCCCCCCCCCCCCAAAGGTCTAAATAACAACTAATCTGCTTTCTGTAGCTACAGGCTTCTCTATTCTGTACTTGCATATGAATGGAATCATATGGTATGTGGTCTTTAGTATCTGGCAGTATTGAAGATGGCATCCAGCATTCCTAGTATAGGACTGTGGTCCCTGGTCCAGGAGGAGGAAACAGAGCAGACCTTACTCATAAAGAATTGTGTTTATATGTTCTATCCTGTCTGGGAAAGATGCAAGGTGCCTGCCTTCGTTTTGCCTAAACTGGAACTCACTCAAGGCAGAAAAGCAATGGACATTCCTTGAAAACTATTTAAGGCAAATGAATAACCCATATATATATATGCCTGGTGCAAGAAACTGGGATTGAGGCATACATTAGAGCAGCAGTTCTCAACCTGTGGGTCGAGACCCCTTTGGCGGTCGAACGACCCTTTCACAGGGGTCGCCTAAGACCATCCTGCATATCAGATATTTACATTACGATTCATAACAGTAGCAACATTACAGTTATGAAATAGCAACGAAAATAATTTTATGGTTGGGTCACAACATGAGGAACTGTATTTAAAGGGCCAGAAGGTTGAGAACCACTGCATTAGAGTATCAAACGCTAGGAGAGCCTTGCCGGTATGGGCTCAGTGAATAGAGCATCGGCCCACACTCCGAAGGGTCAAGGGCACATACCTGGGTTGCAGGTTCAATTCCCAGCCCCGATCAGGGCTCTTGTGGGAGGCAACCAACCCATGTGTCTCTCTCACATCAATGTTTCTCTCTCTCTCTCTCCCTCCCTTCCATTCTCTCTAAAAATCATTGAAAAATATATCCTCGGGTCAGGATTAGCCAAAAAACAAAAACAAGATACAAAAGAAAGCATGGGAGAAAAATTGAAGGATTGAAGGGTAGAGATTCTTTGGGAAATTGGCTATTCAAAATTACTGTATATATTGAGAAATTTAGAAAGCCATGTACTAGTATATACCCAGGGCAGGACACAAAAGACCGAAAAGACCCAAAACTTTAACTTCTGGCTTAGGACAGTGATGGCGAACCTATGACACACGTGCCAGAGGTGACACGCGAACTCATTTTTTTGGTTGATTTTTCTTTGTTAAATGGCATTTAAATATATAAAATAAATATCAAAAATATAAGTCTTTGTTTTACTATGGTTGCAAATATCAAAAAATTTCTACATGTGACACGGCACCAGAGTTAAGTTAGGGTTTTTCAAAATGCTGACACGCCGAGCTCAAAAGGTTCGCCATCACTGGCTTAGGGCAAGTAGGAAGTGAAAGTTAAGGCAGATTTGTAAGTGACCTGGCTACGGACTGAAGGAGAGTCTCAACACAAAGCCAATCTGCAAAAACTGGAATAGTTGTTTTGGTTTTTCCCCCTTTGTTTTCTTTGTGAAAAAAATGTTTTGG